TTTTAGATCTTCAGAAAATTTATAAATATTACACCTTCTGCCTTAGAGTTTCGAATTTTTAAATACAATCTGTAGGATTTTCGAAAGATGCGAAACACATTTTGTGGAATTGTTAAGAACTTTCAAATATCTACATTAAAATCTCCACGATTTCAATTTAACCGATATAGAATTTTTGAAAGACCGCGTGCATCTTCCTTGACGATTTTTGAAAGACTTCAGGATTATTGTCTTTAAAATATCCAAAGACTTCTTTTTAGAATAATCAGACGATTCCAAGTGTTTCGATAAATATTAGTACTTAAAAGTTTCCTTAGGATTCAGTTCGACTGAAGCAAGAAAGGTTCAATTGGCAATGATCTCTCGCCTCGACGTGATGGTGGAGAGAAGTTTCTCGTCTTTGTCAATAATTCGGAAAATTCTACTATATATAGAATTTGAAAAATAACGTACCGGAAGCTGGTATGATCTTGACCGGTTCGTCAGACTCCAAAGGATCGCTGAGGCCGACTTCGTTCCTGGCGAAGATCCTGACCAGATACTCGTGGTTCTCCTGCAAATCCCTGATATTCAGTTTCTGCGTTTCGGCATTCACTCTGGCTACTTCCATCCACATAGTCTTCTTCGTGTCCCTCATAGCAATTCTGTAACCTTCCAACGGCGCACCGCCATCCGATTCCGGTCTGCCCCACGAGATCACAACTGTGTTCGCCGCGATCTGCCTGATTTCTAACGGCGCTGTTGGCGGTGACGGCACGTCTGCGAAGACGAAGAACGAAAGTTTTCATCGATCAAAATTTACACGCGGCGACTAGATATATTTTTGAAAGAGGAGAACGAATCTCTTACTGGCATGTGTCATTAAGGTTACTGGCGGTGAATTCGTAGGTAAACTGAGCCCCATGTTGTTCTCCGCGAAGATCCTGAAGATGAATTCGCTCTCTTTCAGATTTTCTATGCAATATTGAAGAGTAGTAGGGTCCAGAGTGACGACTTTTGTCCATCTTGCTCCTTTTCCAATTAATGGCCTCTTCTCGATCACGTATCCTATTATACATAAAACGATAAAAGATTCTTTATAATTCTATATATTTTGTTTTCATTTGTTCTGTCGATGTTCTGTTTATACTTATAGTTTCCATTCTATTTTTATAGAAAATTTATATGAACGTTTCTTTGCGCTGTTCTTATTTAATAAAGTGACGATCGATATACCAGAGAGAAGTAAATTAATAGAAATGAGAAAGCGATATATGATACTGCGATAAAAATTTTAAGATAAAAACGTATCTACAAAGATTGATACGATCCAATTATTTAAAATACTGTATTTCTTATAGATCATCAATAACGATCTATAAGATTTACATTTTGTATATGTTATATAAAAATATAAGGCCTTCATACATTTTTACACAACATGATGATATTGAATATTATATTTCTTTTTAAAAATTGTCTATAAAATCCGGTATCTGTGTCGTACAACTTTCAAATAATTTATCATGATGAGATATTACATTAGAGATTACATTAAATTCAATGAAAACTTACCTGTGAGCTCTGTGCCTCCATTGCTGGCTGGTGGAGACCAACTGAGCGTGACGCTTTTGCTAGTGACATTCGTCACTTGAACATTTTGCGGACTCGATGGTGGTGCTATAAATAACATTGATCATTGCATATTAAACAGATCGCACGACTCGTTCAATAACAAGTAGCAAACAGCGTGCAGAACTACGAAAGCAATGAAACTTACTTTTGCTGATGACCGCTTTCGTTGGCGGGAATATGCCCAGCAAAGCGTACATGGTGCTTTCGTCGAGCTTTGTTATTTCTAAGCGACAGCGAAGGCATTGAATAAGCGAGGAGCATGTTAGAATGCAAATGATTCATATTCAAAAGTGTTAGAATGCTAATTGTTATTTTCAACGCTCGCAGAAATATAATTTCTAATTATTTTTACAGCCTCGTGAAGCTTGACGCTTTCATCGAAAATTTCGAATTTCAAATTATCTTCGTAGCTGCATAAGCTCAAGCGATTAGCATTGTAAGTTTTAATAAAAGTCGAGCAATTTTCTTACTGATTCGTCTGCCTGCTGCGATTGGTTCTTCGGCAACGTATGGCGGACCAGTGCCAACATTGTTCTTAGCTGTTATCCTGAAGTTATATGGTACATCTGTTTTCAAATCTGATACGCTGAAGTGTGTCGTTTCGTGCTTTGTGCTGCCGATCTGCAAACGATGTTTCAGTGTAATTAACACTGTCGAATTTGATTATCGTCAAAAATTTG